GGGTGGAGAGGGAGGTGGGAGGGGGGACCGGGATGGGGAATACATGTAAATCCATGGCTAATTCATTTCAATGTATGACAAAAACCACTGCAATGTTGTAAAGTAATTAGCCTCCAACTAATAAAAATAAATGGAAAAAAAAAAGAAAATGTTTTTACTTAAATATCATATAGCAAATACATATATAGCTATATATTTACATTTCTCTAAAACAGATCTTTTTGTTTCATATATCTCTATATTTTCCATATATATTTATTTATTTATATACATACACAGTTGTATTTTCCCATTGTAACACACTATATGTTTTGTTCTGCACCTTGCTCTTTTCCCTGAACACCCTTTCATGTCAGTAGAGACATATCTTATTATTTTTAATGGCTGCATAGCAGTCTGTGGCTTGAATGGTCCTTAAGAAACCATTCTTCAACTGCTGGCCATTTAGCTTATTTTACATTTTTGCAATTATAAGCAGTGTTGTAGTGAACATGGTAGGGTTTTAAATTTGTGTAAACTTGTTAGTTTTTCTGTAGGAAAGATTGCTGTAAGTGGACTTGCTGGGTATCTCATAACATTTAATTGATTGATTACAATTAGAGACTCATAGGGCTTGTCTGGTGGCTTAGACAGTAAAGAATCTGCCTGCAATGTGGGGGACCCAGGTTCAATCCCTGGGTAGGGCAGATCCCCTGGAGAAGGGAATGGCAACCCACTCCAGTATTCTTGCCTGGAGAGTTCTATGGACAGAGGAGCCTTGCAGGCTACAGTCTGTGGGGTTGCAAAGAGTTGGATACGACTGAGTGATTAACACTACAGAGACTCATAGGTTGGGAAGAATTCTGAGAGAACTCAGAGTTCATCACATGCTACCAGGAAGGATTTTTTTTTTCACTCTCACTTTGAAAATTTTAGAGAATGAGAAACAATGCTTTTTATCATGAATGCCTTATAATCACTTGAAATCGACTGTGAAAGAAAAAGTAATAGTTATGATGCCCTGGCTGAGTGAGTTAGAAATGAAAGACTGACTCCTAAGGTTAAATACCTTGGTGAGCCTGGTTTGCATGCCAGTCAAGGATCGCAAGATACACGATTATCAGAGTTATGTCAGTTGCAGATAGTTGGATCAATTAACATTTATATAGTAGGGTAGTTAGTATCTTGTAACAGGAGGTTACTTCATTCAGTTTCTGAGACTACAGGTCTATCCCTTAAGATGGCTCTCAGCTGACCCACTGTCTCTAAGCCTTGCCTCTATCCCTAGGAAGCAGGTGACCTATAGAGAGTCTAGCCAGACTACATGTGAACTTAAATCTGGTTCCACACCTACTCCACAGTGCATCATGCCTGAATGAATAGTTGGGCTGCCCTTCACTTTTGTCTCAAGGCTGTTTCCCTTGCAGAGAGGCACGTGGCAGCTCCTTTACAAGCTGATCTAAAGAAAAGAAAAAACATGGTGTAATATGACAGAGTTGTGGGATCCTGACCATTTCAGGTAGCCCCCTCTGATGCAGGTAGGATTTGTTTAAAATCTTTGCAACACTGGGATGACCTCTATGGCAAAACTCTGTGTATTATGAACTTGGCTCCCAGAGTGGACATGTGCTTGACTGTCACAGCTTGTACATTTTTCCCACTCAGGGTGCACATGGAAGCATGTCTTCATTAGGAACAAGTGCAGCGTGAGAGGTAAAGACGACCATGTTAAACAGCCAGGAATTTTCACCTAATTGCACATTTGTACAACACTGCAAAAAGGATCAGGCAGCCTGGCTATGTTAGATCATTTCACTGCTCACCAAAGAGATTTGAAATGGACTTTTAATTATTATTGCCGATTTGCTATGGTTATATTCCTTAATATGGACATCTGATTAGGATTAATTTTCTTTAGTTGATGGATAGAGCGCTTACACTTGTAGGGTTGCCTTTGTTGATACATATTGGCATATGAATTGTATTGTGGTATTGGCATATGCTATGTATTGTGACTTTTTGCTGGACTACAAATTACAGGCACTTCTTATCTGTTTTAGTTTTGAGGTCATTTTTCCTTCCTTCACCTTTGTGTGGTTTTTCAGATGTGTTCATGGAGATAGAGCAAGGCTAAGTGGCTATTAAACTCTTTCCTATATGCAGTAAAACTCATTAACATGGACCTCACTGAATTTGGAATTTATGATAATAAGGGCTTGAGTTAAAGTTTACTTTTGGATTGTTTCTGAACTAAAGCTTTGCTGAGCTAATAAATAGTGTACATATAATCACAGGGGGATGGCACTCTTACTTTCAGAAGCAGCCTTTCCTAGTACGCTAGAGAAAAGGCTTTGCAGAAGAGGCAATAAGGTAGTGGGGAGATGGCCTAGTACAAAGATTGTGCCACATACTAGCTGTGTGACCTTGAACTTAGCTTCTCTGAGAATCTTTTCCCTCATCTATAAAATGGAGACAGTTATCTAATTTGTGGGGCTGCTGTGAGGGTTAGATTTAATGTAAAGTGCCTGGTGTCCGGTATGTGCTTCATAAGTGGCAGATAATTATTACCAATCTAAAATAATTAGTGAGCTAATTTCACATACTTCTCATTTTTTTAAGTAATACAGGGTTCCTTGGCACTAAGGCAGAGTTTTGTTAACCTAATCTGATATATTGCTTTATTATTCTAATTGATTAAAGGAAAACCCCAGCAGATTGGTGTGGTGGTAAAGAACATGAGCTTTGGAGCCAGACAAACTGAGGTGTGAAAGTAATTCTATCACTCATTAGCTGTGTGGCCGTAGGCAAGTTACTTAATATCTCTCAGGTTTTGTTTTCTAATTTGTAAAAATGGGATGGTAATGCCTGCTCCAGGACTTTTGTAAGGTCTCGGTGAGATAATGCTTATAAAGTGTTTAGCCAGTGATATTCATGTAGTAAACTCTCAAATATCAGCTGTTGCTATTATCATGATTTTTTGGACAGTAGTCCTTATGTAGACTTTTCATGAATTCAGACTTATCTTTTTCAGTTGACTTAATTAATGAACTTCATTTGAGACATAATCTCCATTCTAGATGAAAATTTTAAGTATGTAAGTAAGAAAAGTTATGGAGAAGGAATATGGCTAAATACGTGGGGTGAAAGCAAAAAATAATATTTTAAAAGCGGGGGCATAAGGTCTCAAGTTATATTTAAATTATGTCATAGTCACTTTTGTGCATAATCTTTGCATTCTTTGTGAAAGGTGTTTTATATTAGACAGAACTGGAACTTTACATATGCCTAGTAGAAAGTGTGGACTGGTGATCAGCTATCAATCATTGGTGAGAGAAGCAGTATGTCCTTGTTCAACTCTATTTCCATCTTCTTGCTTTCCCCTCATGTTTCACAGGCTATGTGGATGAGAAATGTGAGCAGCATAGCGTCCTGCAAGGGGCCTATAATCTATCCCCCCTTAAGGACGGGCTTACATAGTTAGTCAGAATCCATCATCTCAACAGATCAGACTGAACTGCTTCAGTGACTGGCAAACAGCACCACTTGTGGTGAAATGCAAGCAGCTAGGGGTGTGTGTGTGTGTGTGTGTGTGTGTGTGTGTGTGTGTGTATTAAGTGCTCTTCAATAGGAGAAATGTATTTTACTGAAAACTCAATCCATCCTATTTTTGTAGAGGCAAGCAATGTTCATCTTAAAATGATTATTTTTTTTTTTTGGAGATTCTGAATGATTATAATACAAATTCAAAACCTTGAATGAGTTTTAAAAATCAGGTATTTTTGTGCATCATATACATGCACAATGAAACCTTGTAATAAAAGCTAGAGGAGGTAGAACCAATAATACTGTTGGGGCTATATGCCTTTCACTTTCCAGGGCTGCTCAATTTAAGCAGATGCTTTTAGGAAAGGAAAGTCAGTTCATTAAATTAACAACCAATGGTTTAACATATAAAAATTTTCACAATACTAAATTCACAAGTCAGAAAGAAAACCTTTTGTCAGACCATGTTTTCTAAGTTTGGGCCAGAAAGTGTGATTGTTATAATGTACTCCCTGTTGATTAATTGTATTATTTCAGACATTTACTGGAAGTACCTAATGGTTGGTTGTTAAGGTATGACATTATTTGTCTAGATAGCAACAGGAACAACAGTAATAACTAATTTTTATTGAATGATTGCTGTATACAGACATTGCTAGAAGGTGGGGATATAGCAGGAAGCAAAAAAAAAAAAAAAAGACACAGCCTTATGTTGTTAACAGCAACCTATGAAGTATATCTAGATAAATAAACAAGTTCATGCCGTGCTGTGCTTAGTCATGTCCCGATTCTTTGAGATCCCATGGACTGTAGCCCACCAGGCTCCTCTGTCCACGGGGATTCTCCAAGACAAGAATACTAGAGTGGGTTGCCATGCCGTCCTCCAGGGCATCTTCCCAACCTAGGGATCCAACCAGGGTCTCCTGCATTGCAGGTGGATTCTTTACCAGCTGAGCTACCAGGGAAGCCCAAACAAGTTAACAGCGTTTATATAATTTGTCCAAATGTGGATAGCTAGTAAGTGGCAGAGCTCGAATTACAGTGGGGCCTTTGTTGCAGCGGTCTAACCTGTGCTCCACTATGCAGACTTAAACAAGCTAGAAGGAGCTCCTTGACACAGTGGGGGAGCCATTTCAGCCATATCAGCTTTGGACTGCTTATGCATAGACTGTTGAATAAGGCGGAAGTAAACTTCTCTCTTACTATTCTGCTAACCCTCTGTGTGAGCCTCATTCATATGTCTGAAGATTTTTATAAGCTTTTGCTTTAAAGGCATTCCTTAGATATTGCACCCCTAACTTCTACTCACATCCTACAAGCCATACCTAACTACCAAGAAGGCTTGAAAATATAATCTTTATGGTCATTTACCTCTCAAAATTCAGAGGTTCTATTAATAAAGGGGAAAAGGGGAGAGTGGATATTACAGGACAGATTGACAGTCTGTATCATATGATAATTGAGAACATTGTTTCAGAGTTGGACAAGTGACCAATTATCTCATGGCTTTGCATCCATTTTCCATTTCTTTCCAAGTAGTGTATCAAGGTTGTATGTATGTATATATATATATAGTGTGCGTGATATATTTATATATTCAAAATACATGAGATATCATGAATATTACATGACTACAGTGGCACTTGGTCATCTCTAGGTTACAATAGAACAAGGCCAGTTGCTTTGATTTTTGGCAGAAAGCCTTGCAAAACCCTCAGAATTTGTCTTGCTTACATTCTTACCCTCACAAAGATCCCACACTCAGAGGTCTATGTTGTAAGAGTTTCATTTGTAGAGAAATGGCTTTATAGAAATAAAATTACCTTAAACTTTTGAGTGAGGCAGGTATTTCATACATAAATCATAAACAACTCTGGCCCAGAACTTCAAGCTTTCCTAAAATTCCCGGTCTCTTCTGATAAACTTTGGATATTTACTATAGAAAAATCAACTAATGAATATTTGTTCAGCATATGCTTTGTTTAGCAGTTATGTGAGATGGACCCACAGACTTTTATCCGGGTATCTCCTGGGGCTACAGGTAGTGGGAGATGATAATAGGTTAGACCTTCAGTGCATACACAGATCTTCTTATTTGTTACTTGGGTGCTGCCCTACCACCTGCTCTCACTTGTCTCCCAAACCTAATGCAGTTTCTGATGAGCTCAGCTATCCATGTGGAGCTGCCTGGAAATATTGTGTCTTGCACACAGATAGTCCTCATTGGTCCCTTTCTCCTGGGTCCAGCTCTTTAGATCCTGTTTCACTAGTGGCTAGATGAGGCAGAAGGAAAAAAAGAAAGGGAAAATTTAAGTTAGAGCTGGTCTAATTATTCTGGCCTGGGTGTTATCTAGGTGGATGGACGTGGTAGTTGGGGAGCACATCTGAAGTGACCTGTTTTGCTTCATCGTCCACATGGAAGTAGAGAGAAGCAGTCCAGAGTGAGAATCCTAAAAGGTAACTGCGAAGAAACCACAGAAGCCTGCAGGTTAGAACTTTGTGTTCTTCTCAATATAGCAAAAGCTCCACCCCCTGTGAAGTTTAGTTGAACCCAGTAACTTGATTCAGTTACCTTGTCTCTTTCTCTCCTTGGCTGTGGGGCTGGGAAGTGGACTGGGGGTAAAGGAGATGGAAGTAGAACTTTGTTCTCCTGTTAGAAGGTCAGCATCAAGTACTTTGGAGGCTCCATCACAACTCTGGGACACAGCCTTTATCCCAGTTCTCAAAGACTAACAGTCTGGGAAGCTAATGTATATGAAACATGTAGTGAAAACCAAGCACTTAAACTGTGTGATATTGATCATTCCAGAGGAATCCAGATAAGGGATAAGTCAACGTGGATTTGTTTCTTGGGGAAGGCTTCTTAGATCATGCTACTAGTGAGAGGATGAAAGGAGCTAATTAAGAAGGAAGAAAAGAAGGGGCGAACAAAGACTCAGAATGAGCTTAGAGGTCAGTAGACTTGTATATCTGAAGCACAGACTTCATGTTGGAGACTAGGAAATGAAGTGAAATAGGAAAGTGGAATACTTCAAAAATCAGGCAGCGGTAATCATGTAAGGTGGTTTTTTTTTTTTTTCCTTTCTTTTTTAAAACTATCAACCTCATTTTTAATGGAATGAAGTGAAGATAAATTGGCAAGTGACGAATGAATGAATAAAAGATAAATATTGTAAAAACATTTTAGTGTTAGAATTTGTCTAGGCTAGGAAAAGGGGGTTCCTATGCAGGACCTCAGTAACACAGGTTGCCAGGAAGCAGGAGGAAGTGAGGACGAGGTGTGTGAGGGTCTGCGAGCCTGGCTTCACTAGGGTTAGCTAGCAGTTCAGTCCTCAGAGACCAGGAGGATGTGATGGTCTTGGGATGGTTTCAGGGAAGGTTTTAGATCTGAGGAAAGCCAATTCAGCAGGAGATTTGGGCAACTAGAGGGTAGGTAGCAGGTGAGATAACAGAGTCAGGAATGGTGGTATCATGGCAGTGGGCAGTCCCTTCACAGCTGAATCCCAGCCAGCAACTGGAGTCCTGCAGTAGAATCAGGGGAAAGTTGTATCAGGGTCTTCATCAAGGAGATTTTGAGTTCTGGGAAGGGCACAAAGCCTTGTTGGAAATGGGAAAACTAGTGCAGAAGCAGTTCTGAAGATTGGGCCAGTGTGTTGGGTAGGTAGGGAAACCAAAGGAAAAATGATGATGAAGCAGTTTAGCGGGAACTCAGTGCAGTTCAGTGCATTTGTGGCCACAGAGGTCTGAGTTGCTTCTCTTTTGCCTACCTGTTGAGGGGCTGAAGGTCATAGTTATGCTAAACCTCTTTTTTTTTTAACTTTTTATTTTGTATTAGGGTATAGCTGATTAACAGTGTTGTGAGAGTTTCAGGTGAACACCAAAGGGACTCAGCCATGCATATACACGTATCCATGCTCCTCCAAACTCCCCTCCTATCCAGGCTGCCACATGACATTGAGCAGCGTTCCCTGTGCTGTAAAGTAGGTCTTTATTGGTCACCCATTTCAGATATTATGCTAAACCTCTTAGGTGGAGATTCAGGGCCTTAACTCAGGGATCTTGTGATGAATGGCTGACACGGAGGCCCAGTGGAAGTAGCATCACTTAGAAGGATTTGAGACTGCAGCCGAGGAGACAGAGGCACAGCCAGGAGGCTGTCATGGTCCAGGCAGAGGAGAACAAGCCTATCAACGCGGGGGAATTTTAGTAGCAATTCAGAAGAAAAGGGGTCTGCAAAAGACATTTCAGATTAAGAAGTAACAGGCTTCAGTGACAAGTTTGATGTAACAGGGAAGGGAGGACCTGAAATGACTCTTGGTGGATTTTAAATGCTCATGTAGTATGACATTTTTGTGCATGAGCTGAAGTGTGTTTTAAACACATGTGCAATTACTTTTGGCCAATTTTTAGAAACCCAAATAAATAAAATAGTTAACAAATTGCGTGTGTTAAGGCTGAGCTTACTTGTGTGTTGGTTGGCTTTCTATCCCACTGCAGTGGGACATCTCAGAGCAGCAGTCGCACTTGAGCATGTAAATGAGTAAGAACATTTCTTGCAAAGATGTCTTTCTTTCGGGTGTAAGATCGTGTTGCTCGTATACAAGGGCATGGGTATGATTGAGAAGCCTAAGGCGGGACCTACCTGCATCCTCCCAGGCTGTTTGCACCCGGCCTCTGCCGTAGAGCTGATGCTTGACGTGTCTGTGTGTTCTGCTTCCACCCACCTGGTCAGTTCAGAGCTTTGCTGAAGAAAGTGTGTTCCTGGCTGCCCGAGTTGCTTCACAACGGGCTTCTCTTTGTGTAGCTGTTGTGTCCCAGCCAGACACTTTGGTGCTTCCCGAGGGACACAGATGGGAACGCACTGTTCACGGAGGGGTAGGGCTCCGAACCTCAGGAGAGGTTTTATTGCCATTTATCAAGGCAAAGAAAAACACACAGAATCTTTACCTGGGTAGGGAATCTTTGTTTTCAAAATGCACAAATATGTGGTATTTCTGATTTTATTAGGCTTGGATCTGCACCTGGGGGTGGCATGGATTTCAAAGTCATTATTTAAGGTAAGGAAATAAAACTTTAAACAACATTATCACCCTGAAAGATCCTGGCTGTGTTTTTGAAATGTTGAGCTAAGTAATTTCAGCAATCAGCAAAAGACCAACCATTGTACTTCTGAAAAGTTGTTCTTTGAAAGGCTTAGATTAATAATTTGTTTCTGTTTTGTTCACAGGTGTACTGTCTGTAGGGTGGAGGTGGACCAAAGACCTGTTTCACTGGATACCGGCTTTAAATCACCTTTCATATTTTCTTGTTGGAAAGACAACTGTTGGAGAGTCTTCTTGTTATCATCAGCAAAAAAATGGAAACAGATCAAGATATTAAGTGGCCAGCAGTTAATGATGCCAGAGTAAGGCAAGCTTTGGCAAAGGAATTTTTCAAGACTGTGTGCTTCACCAGCCAGGAATCAGGAAAGGCTGAACTATCCTTTTTGTCTCAGCTGTTTCTTAAATCAATGCAACCCCTCCAAATTAAAGTGAATTGAAACATTCATTGCCTTTTCAACTTAATTGAGTGCTTACTATGTGTGAATCACTGTACAGAATAGGGGATGGAAAATGAGAGAGGCAAATAAGATGTGGTCCCTGCCTTGAATGTGTTTACAATTAGTTTCAAGACAGTTTTTTGGGGGGTTGTTTTCTGCTGCTAAGTATGTCCCTAAAATAGGAAGCAATACTGGAGTGGGATCTTCCCAACCCAGGAATCAAACCCAGGTCTCCCACATTGCAGGCAGATTCTTTACCAGCTGAGTCACAAGGGAAGCCCTATATTTCTTTAATACCAAGCAAAACTCTTACTGTGGGTAACTCAGGGCATCTTAATTCCATTTTTTTTTTTTTTTGGTCTTCTGATAGTTAGGACCCAATTTATTGATTTAATATACATTCAGTAGACTTTAGAAGTATTAATACATTATAGTTGGAGTAAATTCGAATGAATCCCTTTCCCCCCTTAGGTGTGGACTGTATATTGGAGACATGTACTGTGTTCGTACATTTCTTGGGGAGCTGAGAGGTGATTATACCTGTTGTCTCTATAGGCCTCCTCCTCCCATGCCCTCGGGGCCGGCCCTTCTGATTGTGTTATTAGCGTACAGAAGGGAAAGGTTTGGCTCAAGCCTGCGGGTGCTGCTCCTGGACCCAAGAAAGGGCCAGGAATGTGCAAAACAGACCCAAGCAAAGGCTCTGTATAAGAATTTGGCTATTTCAGTATTCATTGCATTGTTGTCTGTATTCCATAAGTTGGATGACTATATAATTTTTCCAAAAAGTTATTTCTGATCTGGGAATAAGTCATGATTTTTCTGGTGTTAAGATGCTAATATGACTGTAGACACATAGTGTCTGTGACACATTTTAGTATGTATGAGCCAGCAATAGAGACATGTCTTTGTCTTGAGTAATGTCCACATCTGAATTGAAAATATGCCAGCTTTTTTTTTCTTCAGCATCATCAACAGACTTCTTAATTAAGCTGCCAATATGTGCCATCAATAGCATTGTGTGCTGTGTCAAATGAATTGTGTAAGTGCTGTTTCTCTCTATTTAATAAACAATGTTGCTCCCTGTAAAATGGATTTAAAGTGTTCTTTTAATGGAGCATTCTATCACTCCCTAAAAAATTTGATGAGAATTCTCAAGTCCTTCTTCTTTATTTAATTTCTAAAAACTTTTATTTGGTTCCTCAGTAAGGAATAAACCTAATCTGACCAATGACTTTAATCATATGATTCATCCTTAATACAATGCCTTGTCGCACCCCTGAACTCCTGATGGTGATACTGGATATTTGATGTGTCACTTTAAGTTTGTGTAACCTAACTTCCAGGAAGTCTGAGTTGTGAACTTGTTTGGCACTAGACTGTAGGTGTTTATTTACTGTTCTGGGAGATCTTCTCTAGGGACCACCTGTGTATTCCTTGTGCCTAGAACAGGGCCTGGTGCAGAGATACATGTTCAGTGAATATATGGTGAGCAAGGCATAAAACGTAGGTTTTTTTTCACCTGTGACTTGTGAAGCTCTGTAAAGGACAGCGGGGTCTTGCTAACAGAGTTTGCACCTCTGTTGGTTTGTAGTTTACAGTCAGTGTACTTAGAATGAGTCCAAACCCGCTGGATGCTTTGTTTACCGTCTAGTCCACTGGTCTCTTAACTGGTGTCTAGGGCTCACCAGTCCAGGTACCGACCTCCTCTCTGCGTCCCCTGACCCTCGCCCCAGTCTGCACTGGGCGGGTGGGGGTGGGCAGGGCTGTTCTGCTTCTCCTCCTCTGGCTTGTCCACCAATGGAAGAGCAATCCCTCTATTCACTGGGGCCTCATGATGTGCCAGGTGCAGAGCTCAGTGCTTTTCACATATCCTCTTACGTAATTATCTCATTTAAACACACAGTGACCACTTGAAGTGGGCATTATCCATTGCTGAGACATGTATCTTAAGTCATGGGATCTAATTCCAGATCTCTTAGATTCCAGAGCCTGAACTATTAACCCCTACCCTCTGCTGCATCCCAGGGGAAACTCCCACTGCCTGGGCGTGGGGGGGGTGGGGGCACTTCAAATCTGGTTATAGTCTAGATTCATTGCATTTAGTATTCCTCAACAGCAAACTGTCTAACAGACAAAACCCAGTGAATCACTATTTGGAGAATAGGGGAGTGCAGAGCAACTGGCAGAAAGCAACGTTGGAAACAAACCGGTTTGAGTCAAACCTTTAGCCTTTACCTCATAATCCTTTTTCCTTGGTAAACTTTCTTTTCTTGTTTTTTTTTTTTTTTTTAACATAGCCTGACACCATGTGATAAATCAAAGCCTGACGTAATTGACCCAGAATTGATCCCCAAATGTCTTTTGGGGGAGCATGTTTTCAGTCTGGTTGTTGATGCTGAGAAATGATTGCCACCCTAGAAGGGTGATTACATATGCCATTGTTTATACACATAATAGGCTCCGAACACACGTTCTGCGCAGAGGGAAGAGAACCCTGCTTGCACATTCGGGGTGTGTGCTCTGTATTGTGACAGAATGCCGCAAATAGCATTTGAACTGCGGCCGATTACTGTTGATTTCCCCGATGTGTGTGTGTGTGTGTGTGAGAGAGAGGGAGAGCTCAGGAGTGAGGAAGGGGACTGTTGGTTCACCTGAAATGACAGTGATTTGCTTTTCCTTAATTTTTTTACTTTACCACGACATCTTCTGGATCTGATTCATTTAGCTTGGTCTGCTTAAAAGGACTTTCCTTCCTGCTTGGCATATGCTTATTAATGAGTTCTCATATTTCTTTTCATCAAGGGCTGTTTACTTTGTGGAAATACAAAGTGAGAGTCTTTCCCCGCAACATCCTCCTAAATGCCCTGGTTTTGACCACCGCTTTAAGTACACCAAGCGGTCAGCTAAAATAGTAGCCAGTGCCTTTCCTCGCAGTGTGCTTTCTGGTAAAACATAAATGGGACTTAAACCACAAATGACCAATTAAAGTACTTCATGCCTTTCCCTTTAGCCATGAGACAGTAGTTATCCGAAGTAAATACAACAAACAGGCTATTTTGTGGTATCTAAGCCTAGGCGCATATACATACTTTTTAAAATCCAAGCCTGAAAACGCGAAATGTCGTGCCTTTTTGTAGTGCTGCACAATGAAAGAAATACATATGTATTCCAGTATGGACCTGGGCATTATTTGAAGCTGAAGCGATTCATCCTGGGCCATTCTCTGCCAGAGTGTCCAGCAAATTGCACGACCTGCTTGTTAGGGCTTGACAAGAGTGTTTGTGTCTCTCAAAGGCCTCCGCAACGCTGGGCAGCAGTGGAATGTCAGAATGAGCACACTCCACACACAGATGTGCGACCATAACGGCCCGTAAGGAGACGCATGTGGCAGGGCGCGCAGGCTGGGCGCGGGCGTGGAGGGGCGTGCGGTGTGAGTCTGTGGGCGGCGGCCGGGGGAGGGGGAGGCCAGCAGTTAGCAGTAGGGACGTGGCCCCACTGACCACATTTAATCAGCCCTCTGTAAACAGTCCAACGTTTTCATTGTTCTCTAAAAACTAATAAAGAGAAGCAAGCACTTTTCATTCATCTTGAAGTAATTTTCTGTCAGGTTGGAGCCCCTCGTGGCCTCCAGCTTGTGCAGTGCTAGCTGTGTGATACCACAACTATTGCAATTTATTTTACAAACTCTGGTCATTCACATGTCAGTTAGTGTTCACCAAGCCGGCATCTGAAATTGTGCAGTTAACGAGTTTTACAACATTTCTATCAAGAGAAACTGTTTAGCATAACTGACTCTTAAGGAGTTATTATACCTCTAAAAATCCATTTTAAGGGGCATTATTTAAATAAAATAGAAAAACGGTTCACTGCCTTTTAAAGGGGCTACAAAAAAAAGTCCATCAGCTCCAGTGCAGTAATCCTCAGCTTAAAGCACTCTTGAGAGCACTTCTGGGAATTGTCAGCATAATGAAATGTTTTGTGAAATGTCCAGATAGATTCCTCTACTCAACAATTTTACGGCACCATATTTATTTTCCTTCCAGTTTTTAAAGAAGTAAATTACTTTTTGAGAGGATGACTCTATGTTGTATAGATTAACTGAGCACATTATTACCCAGGTTGTAGCAAACGAGATGGTTCCGTTTGCAGTGTCATCTATATGCATCTTCAGACGGGCAAAGAAAGAAAAAAGCGGCTCCCCCCCCCTTAGTGCTTTTAGCTCCAATAGAGCTAATAGAGTTTTGCATTTTCCCCATGCCACATTTTTTTCCAGACTTTTAAACAACTTTGGTATGTGGTGGCATCTGCAATTGCATTCTTTAAACTTTACAAAATGACTTTTCTTATCCTAAATAAGTGCAGGAAAACCCATACCCATGGACACTGGCATGTGTATAATGATACATATCATTTGAATCTGGCCCACTTCAATAGGAGATGCTTGAACATTTTGCTTAAAGGATAGAGTCCTCACATTCACTGAGATGGCTGATGACCCCCAAACAGTTAATAGCTAGAATCCATAATGGAGCACTAGATGGCTTAGCAGCAAGTTCATTTAGTGTATTATATTACCTACTGGGAGTAGGAGCCACTACTTGTAATGTCAATGGCTTAATAGTTCCTTCTAGGATGACCAAGACCAGGAGAAAAATTATGTTCTGCTGTGACAAGAGATATTTCATATCTTCAGGAGGTATATCTATAACATGGCACATTTTCATTTTGCCACAAACGGTCCCCTAATTCCTTAGACTGATGTTTGTGCACACGACTTTAATTTTCTGAGGGAGATAGGCAGATGTTCTTTGCCTGTTAGCTGTATCTGCCCATGAGAAGCACACTAACATCCATGAGCCAAATACAATTTGACATAATTTATGCCTTTATTACCTCCTACAGAATGATATTATTTCATGCTGGCACATTAATGTTTCCAGCATGTTACTGTTATTCCTGGAAATTTTACCTTCTGAAGTTCAAATATCAAGGGATGAGTTTAAAATTTTTCTCAGTGCCTTAGATTTGGGGAAAATGCAACTTATTGCAAATGCAACTTTTAAAACTTCTTTTTTGATCTTTGGTGGCACTGCATAGATGATGTTCTGATAATGGGCAAAAATCATATCTGAAAACTCTCACCTTTTCTTGGCCAAATAGCTTGTTTTTATCCTGTTTCCATTTTTGGAAAAAATATTTCATCAGCTTTGCTGCTAGTTGTCCCTCTAGTGATGGACACTAGGGGAACAAATAGGAGTTGTTGATCAAAAAATGTTTAAGTGATTGCAACTTGAATCTACTTGGTGAAATACTGAGATGTGTCTTAATATTCAGAATCAGGGCGGAGGGAGTGTGTAAATGTCTCACTGCTGCCATCACACATTGCCAGAAGGAAAACAGCACAAATTTATTACCTTGCGGTTCAATAGGTCATCAGTCTCCTTGGGCTAAAATCACTTGCTGACAGAGCTGCATTCCTTCTGAAGTCTCCAGGGGGGACTCTCTGTCTTTGCCTTTCCTAGCTTCCAGAGATGGCCTGCCTTCCTTGGCTTGTGGCCCCTTCCTCCAGTTTTTTAAGACTAGCAATGCTGAGTCGAATTCTTCTCATGTCGCATCTGTCTAATCCCATTCCATTGTCACATCTCTCTCTCACCGCAGTCAGAAAAATGTCCTCCTCTTCCTTTGAGGACTCATGTGATTAGATCGGACCCCCTTGGGTAACCCAGGATGGATGCTCTTCCTGCCTCAAGACCCATACCCTAGGTGGCATCTGCCATGTCTCTTCTGTCACACAGGTATCATATTCACAGGTTCTGGAGAAAAGGACCTAGAAATTCTTGAAGAGGGAGCAGGCCAGTAGTCCGCTTACTGCTTGAAGTTTCAGAACTCTTTCTCATATTAATATTTGAAAGATTAATAGCAATCACCAGCCTGGTAGCCTCTAAGCTCTAAAAATCATGCACAAAAATAGTTTAAAGTTTTTGACTATGCACCTCAATATATACACATTTCCTTCTAAACTACAATAGTATCTATATTAATAGTGTTATATACTAGTAGTAAATCTTCCATTTCTTTTTAATATATA